TTTGTCACCCAAAACCATGGAAGGAAGAAAAATAATACCTCCCAGTGTGTTGACAGTACCTTCATAGATCAGATCAGGTTGTGGATGTAGGTCAGACCAAAAATATATAGTGGTAAGTACTGGCTATGATGCTAGACTGGCCAGTGTTTGCCAACCGGGGAGTGCAGCCAGTCTAGCCAGGGGAGTCACCAAGACCAAAAAGAGAAATGCAAACAGTGTGGTGATTGTCCTGTGGTTACATTGCAAAGGGGTCCTTTAGAGGACCAAGAAGCCATAGACCTTATCCTGTGGAGCAATGGTTTCAAGCATTTTTCACTCTGACCTACAGTAAGAAATACATTTTTCCTGTACGCCCAAATACACATGCGCGAGCATGCACACATGCAGACATTTGTATAAAATGGTAACATATTTTTAAAAACAATGCTTATATTTACTACTCTGATTTAAAAAAAAAAAAGAAAAAGTTCCTCTAAATTGGTTTCATGGCTTCCTAATGAATTGTAACCCACAGCCTGACAAAGATATTTTAAAAGAAGATGTCTAGAAATTCAGAGAGTAGTTGCTGAGTGTAGGGCAAGAGGGAAAAAATAAGGAACTAATTCCAGGATAGACTGAAAGGTAGAGGTCAGGAGAAAACTATACAAACAGCAACAGCTAGAGATGGAAGTATTTTTTTTTCCACTGTAAAGAAAATGCTCATTCTGTGACAGTCTAACAAAATGCTAGAGCCTGAGTGTCTGTAAATAGAAAACATAAAGCCAGAAGAAAAACCCAAGGTGATGGAGGACAAAAACAAAGAAGCAAGCCTATGAATTCCTCAGAGCCTTTATGGAACGGCTAGAAATCTTCATTACAAAGAAGTATTGATGATGTACAACCAGATGTAAGATACACACATTACAAAGAAGTATTGATGATGCACAACCAGATGTAAGACACACACACACACACACACACACACACACACACAGAGGGCACCATGTGACTTTGTACTCAAATTGGTTGCTTAAAAAAACTGTATATAGTTATTTGGGTTGTTACCAGCATCTTTTTGTTTGCCCCAGTACAATAGTTAAAATAACTTAGAAATTTTAAAGCAAACACACCTGGATCAGTGGACCCTATGAACCACAATTTAGTACCTGATTGCTAAATTCCAAGGAACCAGAACCTACAAAATAAAAACCAACAGAAATTCCTCTGATTTGGGTGAGCCAACTGAATAGAATTCTGAAATTAAAACATTGAAATAACCCGTAGAGATGAGGCCAACCCCCCTTTATTTTGTAGATGAGAAGGCACTAATGCGCACCACAATTAACTGACAGCTGCTAGTCACAAAGGCTTGAACACAAACCCTAATCTCTGGACTTTGGACGAGTGAACTTTCTACAATACCTAGCTGCCCCACCTTTAACTAAGTGGACCATAAACTGTGGCAAAAACCACAATCATCTTAACTTTCTTATGGCTCTGTATGTAATCATTAAAATAAGAAAAATCCCTGGCTTTTCCAATTGTTAGCAGGAAAGGTTAGACTTTTAAAAAANTATCATGCGTATCTTTTACAATTCCATTGACTCCATCCCCACACTCTACTCCATGTCCTGTGAATATATGTATATATAATTATAATTGACATACATTATTATTCAACATCAGCTTCA